AAGAATATTTTTGTAATATAAGCGAAAGATACCAACGGCAAAGAAGGTAAATTCTTATCATATATATAAATAAACATGTGTGTGAAATGGTATGCAAATAAATTTTAATTAGGAATTAGCTAAATATATTAATGCAAGTCAGATATTATATTTATGCTAGCCAGATATGATGGTAATGCAGGCCAGATAATCTTATTTTGGGATCGTATTAAAAAACCCCGCGCGTGCCCATCTCTAGTGCCTGCGTAGATTTCTCCCGTTCCTGGTTTCGCGCGACAACGTTGCGCAGCTACTTATTATTTAATATAATGTTCTTAAGAACAATTTTATATTCTCAATAACAAAATTTATGTTGCCATTTTTTAAAATTTTTTCAAAAAAAATCGTAGTTTATTCAAATTTTTGTTACAAACATGACATGATAGTCTTTTATGTTCGTTCATTTTATTTCGGAATTTTTCGAAGCTTTACTCAATTTTTATTGTTAACTTCACCCAGTATCATACTCAGGTAGAGAACATATTTATCAAGAAATATGTTCTTGAATATTTTTATATAAGGCATATTAAAATTAACGGATGTTCTCAAATTCAAAAGTATTTTCTCATGAGAACATGTGAACATCAGATTTCCAACATTGATGAGCTGATATGCATATTTATTAGCATTTTGAACTTTTACTAAAAAATTAATTATAATAAATTGGCTTAGCTACAAAATTATTTGATTAAAAATGATTTTAAAGTTTTATGATCTTTAAAGATTATATTTTATATTAACTATATTAACTTAAAAAATTATTAATAAACATCAATTACTGTAAAAATATTTTAAATATTTTATTTAATATCATTAGAATTAATTTTACTTGCATAAACACGAACTATATGTTGATAAGAATCATATTCAAATAGCTCATCTTTTGATGCTTTAACCAACTTATCATATTCATTATCGGAAATTTTTAGCGCTTTCATTACCATTGGTTTAAGAGAAGCATATAAAATAGTCGTATTACTGATAGCCTATTTATGTTATATCAGGTTAAAACCTTTTAAAAAATGGTTTCTTAAAACAATGCATTTGTATAATACATTACCACTTTACTAAGTTCATTATTATTTGCCCTTACACCATGATAGCAGGTTTTTACTTCTTTTTTAATATTTTCTAACTGACCTAATTTAATAAATAATTAAATTAATTATTAATGAATTATAAAAATCTAATTATACGAAGGGTTAAAAACCTTGATTTTGTGCATATTCTTCTAACTTTTGATATGTATTCCAATCTACACCTTTTTTCTCAACTAGCTTTGCAGCTTTATAATAATTGAATGGAACATAATGTAAGTAAAAGAATTGAATCTATAAAGCATCTTTATGATACATACCTGTAAACCATAAACGTTGATTGGCAGGTTCGGCGTCAAACATATACGAAAATTCGCATAACTGAATTGAAAAAGAATTGATCAGACCATAATTATTTAGCGAATTTCCTATATTTAAATTCACCAGAGGTATGATTCATCTATATATGTACATTAGGCGAGACCAACTGGATTCTGTGTTTTACATTACCCCCCCCCCCCCCCCCCCTTCACTCCCCCCCACCCCCATCACTAACCATCTTCAA